AATAGTACTGCATACCGCGTTATGGATTTCATCTATGTTTACTATGTTGGTTCTCTCCAAATGCACGGCAAAACAAGTTAGGATGCTCGCTGCTTTCCAGTATGTGTTTGCCTTAAAAGTTCAAATAGGTGATCAATAAATAAAGATTGAATCAAGTTATTACACTCCAATGGTTTTCGCGCCGATTCACGCCAAGCTATTTTAGGAGAAATCGAAGAACGAAGGTCGAGGAAGAGGAAATTGACAGTGGGGAGACAGGCTGAACTTCTGAGGCTGTGATCTGATACGCAGTTGGCAGTGATAGATTTGACCTCAGCGATCTGGCATAATTCACTCTTGGCGATACGCCCACCGACTATTAATCACTCGCCGCATATTTATACGCTTCGAGTGATTAGATAGCAGAGAGAGCGTAGCGTTGAAGAGGGCACAGCGATGAAGTCGCATCATGCTCAAATCAACGGGCAAGGAAGGGGTCCCATTTCTCGGGTTCTGGGCCGTTTCTCATGGTTTTCCTTCTTTCTGTGTACCACTCACCATCCTTAACTTATTTTGATATAAATTGCTTTTCATTGAAAATTTCGCCTCTACTGGTAAGCTGTCGTGTTAGAAATACTGGGGAAAAAGAATTAGAAATTTAGAAAATAGTAGAATTTTTGATGCAGTGGAGCACCTTCTTCGTCCAACGACTGCTAAATGTCGAAGAAGTTCAACCAGTGAAAATCCTTCGGCCTAATCATGCAAAATCTCAAACAGCATGCCGGAGGACCAAATGTCATATTTAAAAAACTTGCAAAATCAAAAGTCATCGAAAATCTCGATAAACCATGCTGAGCAGATATTAGATATTACGTTAGCTTATATACCATATCCTTTGCGCACATCCCATGACATGCAACGTCGATTATAGTGAAGCGGCTTATTCGAATACCGCGAATTAGCGAAGTCGCGGAGCAAACAAGTCCAGAAAGCTCGTCCGGGAACTTCCCTCCTTTATCTCAAAGGGGAATTAGGGGGTGGGGGTTCTTGTCTGAAGCTTCATCGGCGACTTCGTTCATTTTTCTTTTATTCCAAAGCAATTTAGTGTTAATATCGTTATCGTGCTGTCCACCAGCTTATTCATGAATTGTGGCTCTAGGAACCGTTTATAGAAGAACCATTACGCTATTTCACACTTAAATCACTATCTCGAGATCTCTCACTCACAGTAAGAACGATAAGGCAGAAAACTATTTGTTTTGGCACCAAAAAATCAGGATAGCTATCACTTATACTAATTCCTACTGCCACGAGTTTTGGCTGCTTTTACTCCCTTTTTGCGGTGCTTTCATATGGCCAAACCTCTCAAAGGTGGAGCAATGCCGGCATGAAAGCCGTATTGTTGTCCGAGTGTTTGTGGGCTACTGTAATGTACTACTGGAATGCTTCGCCTATGCACCTGCCCCATGTAGTTAA